ACGGTCATGTAATTCACGACCATATATTTAGGCGATAAAGCTTCGCCCAACAACCAATATGAGCGCGCATATACTACCATTAGTTCTATTATATTTTCGGTCCATATAAAACCATGTATATCAAATGCCATAAATATATTCTCTGTTATTAATTTAAGCCCATCATAACCGTGGTGGCAGCATATTATGCTGGGCTTAAATTAATATTATGCTGCCAAACATATTATTTCTGCAACCATATTACCGGCAATACAATATTATGGACCATGGTATGATGGGCTTAATATTATGATAGGCCACGATACAATATTATTTCTAGTACGACGGGGCCGGGGGCCTAGGTCGACGGGGCCGCGGGGCCTAGATCGACGGGGTCGCGGGGGCCGGGGGGGCCTAGGTCGACGGGGTCGAGGGGGCCAGGGGGGGCCTAGGTCGGCGGGGTCGTGGGGGCCAGGGGCCTAGGTCGACGGGGCCGCGGGGCCAGGAGCGACTGGGCCGAGGGGGGGGGGGGGGGGGGGGGGGGGGGGGGGCGGGGGCCTAGGTCGACGGGGCCGCGGGGCCTAGGTCGACGGGGTCGCGGGGGGCCGGGGGCCTTGGTTGACGGGGCCGCGGGGCGAGGGCCGAGGGGCCGGGGGCCTAGGTCGACGAGGCGAGGGCCGAGGGGCCGCGGGGCGAGGGCCGGGGGCCTAGGTCGACGGGGCCGTGAGGGGCGACTGGCGACGAGGGTCGCTACGGGCCTAGGGCGACGGGGGTCACGATGGGCCGGGGCCTAGGGGCGACGGGTGCGAGGTGAGGCTAGCAGGGCAGTAGGTGGTGGGCCAAAAAAACGGTCCTAGGAACGGACCTGCTCTGAAACCATGTCAAAGTTACGAATGAGAATGGATGAATTAGCAAAAAGTTGGGTACTAGTACTAACCCTAATTGGGTTGTACCCCTTATGGGCTACGCCACTATTGCCTACACAATATAAGCTATATAACATTTTGACATTCGGCAGTAGCCTTTGCCCACCGCATGACAGGCGAAGCCTCCCCTACTGTCGGACCATTCACCCTGCAAGTGCGGGAGTTCGCCAAGAGACATGGTCCCCGGCATGCAAGGACCAAAGAACCCATATCTCTCCATTAAGTGCACGACATGGCCCGTCCCTTCCTCGAATCATCGATTCATGCGGAATACCAGAAATGATTGATTCCTCTTCTCATGTTTTCGGCATTCTTGCGCTACTATGACCTCGTATCGCTCCAATGGAATGATGTACAGTCCGAGGAGAAGGCAATGTGGCCGGAACGACAAATCGCCATCCTACGTCACGATCAGAGACTGGTGTCTCGCGGCGGGCAGGCAGGCTGGACTAGATGTCGTGCACATCGGAACCCACTCATTCCGCAAAGGTGCAGCCACTGCGGCGGCAAGCCTCGGAGTTCCTGGCCGGCTCTTCAAACGCATGGGCCGATGGCGCAACGACAGCACGAAGGAGATGTATGTTACAATCGCGCAGGATCAGCTCATCTCCCTCTCCACGCAGTTGCTGGATCCTTCGACGGCTCCCTCACCCGCCACGCATCAGCTATCAATCGAACGGCACCGCCAGCCCCGACTGCACTTGCCTCAGAAGACCCACATGAAATGATAACGCTGCCTTTGCAAGTCAGCCTAAGTAAAATTTCACTAAGATAAATTTTGAAAGTGTAATGAAATGTAACACTTTTTAAAATTTTGTATTGTGCAAAGGGGTACGTGGCCAGCACAGCAAAGTTAGCGCCAAAGCGCTACTCACCCTCTTTTGCCTACAAAAGAGGGACGTGGGGACATTCGCCCCCACCCACGTTTTCATTCCCGAATTTGTTGTTCTAATTTCCCACCCGCCCACCCATTTGTGTATGCTGTTATGTAGACCATATAAGACGAGAACGATGTACTACAACCCATATGAAATGATAACGTTGCCTTGCAAGTCAGCCTAAGTAAACTTTCACAATCTGTACGCCTACATGTGTTTCGATCAGATACCATGTAAAACTGTGCGGTACAAAACTTTGCTCTAAACATTGATACTCAAAAAAATATAAAAGTCACTTCTTCCCTGACCCGCAGAGTGCGTAGTTATTCTTTGGATGTGCCACTGAGGCAAGACCTATACCTTCCAAGAAGACCTGAATCTGCTTTACGAGGAATTTCGTGGGTACGAACCCTTGTAGGGTTATGTGCCAGGGAAAAAAAACACATCGAAAATGCCCTGGCATGGCCACTCGAGCAATTATCACTGAATTGGATGGCCACTCGAGCAATTCGGGGACACGTGGGCAAGAGCGAATCACCAAACAAGGCACTGGAGCAATTCTCTCCATGCGTTTGGTTCAGCGGGATGCTCACACCTCACTGTTCTTCCCCTTTTTTTAAAATCCAGTTTTTACCCTTTTCACCTATGCCTACAGTGTGTCGGGCATTTGTTTTTGGCATGACAACCCTTTTGTAGGGTGGAAGTTTCTCTTCCTGTACGGTGCAGCTTCCACCCCCCCCCGCCATCTCGTTGTTTCCATCCCGCGAGCTCCCCCCGACTCTCCGCTTGCGCCAAGACCTCGGACGTGGGGTCAACTCTGGTGGACCCAGAGTTGACCCATCCAACTAGGGGCGAGGCTGGTCATTTTGGATCCCTCGCCCCAACCCCCCCTGTATTCCCTGGCCTGCCGAACATCGCCCTGGTATCACTGTACCTGGTGGGAACCACTTTTAGAAGTGTACCTGTGAAGTGGACTCGTACGCCTTCGCTGGTCCATTTCCCTGTAAATGGACCTGCACACTAATGTAACACCCCCTAACTTGACTGATTTGTCAGAGTCCGTCCTGGGATTGCTCGAATTTCATCAGGCCTGTCCACAAACGCTCCTTGTAGAAATCCGAGTTGGGCTAAAAAATACCTTGGATTTCCAGTCAAGAACGAGCATCTACCCTGATAGCATAAGCCCTGCACCCAACCACACACCCTTCACCCACCGAATAGAATCCGCGCTCTCCCTACCTGTTATGTATCACCTCATACGCCTCCTCACCCCTCCAAATTCTTCCAAACGCTTTCCACATTGATTCCACCAGCCAATCATCTCTCCCCTAAGTACCCCCAGCGTTTCCAGTCCAGACCATCGAAGCTCGCAAGTGCAGAATTGCGGGCGGCGCCACAGGTCCGCAAAACGCGGCTGTTTTCAATCATCCAGACCAGACATGCGATGGGATGGGATGGGATCATGGGATGAGGGGAAGCCACGTCTATCAAGCATCTAACCTTGTAGCTCGCTCCCCTAACCTCCCCTTCCCCCCCTACCCTACATTCTCCCTTTACGGGCCACCCCAAAATCAGATTTTCCTTCAATCAGCCCCCCAACCATCCATTCCCGTCCCTCCTCTCCTCCTTCCCATTCCTCTTTCGCTCCCTCCCTCGAGGGTCTGACTGGACCAACGTCCTCGCGCTTCGAGCTTCCTCGCTTCAGTTCCCTAGTGCGTAAAATTAATTGGTCATCCAGACTGGTTGTGCTCTGTACTGTTGTGTAATGTTCTGTACATACAACCACCGCTGTCCACCAGCTCCTCTCGTCTCGATTCTGTATCTCGCCCACTTTCATCTACATATTACACGTCGCGGCGTGTGTACAGTGATCACATGTTGACGTCACGAGTCTTGACTGTTCCGCCCATACAGCGTTGTCCCGCTGCTCCGAGGTTGGTGTCCCCCTGAGTGGACTCAACCTCACACACATCGAAGGGAGATCTTTCCCCTTTCCTCCTCCTCTCCCCTTCCCCCAGCTACCACTCCACTCACCTCTGTGGAACTCCGCTCGCGCATATGCATTGCGCTCCGCGCCCTGCGCCCTGCGCCTGCGCACTGCGCTCCAGAGTTCATTCCACGCTACGTGGTGTCGTGTTCGACTCGCAAAGCCGACCGAAAGGCCATCGACTTTTGAGGCACCCGAAGAGTGGGAATGGGCACACATGAATCCTGATACTGTATGTGTGCCAATTCCTCCCGCCTGCTTGGGCTCAAGAGGGGTTACCGGATTACCAGTCCAGTCACCACCGCACACCGCCAGCCCAGCAGGTGCTTAGATGTCTCATTTCTCTTATGTATTCCTCTCGTAGTATCCTTTTGTTAGGCGTACGGTCTCAGGAGGACATATGTTACGAGAGCGACGCGCGTATACATCCTGATGTATCGCTCTCGTAGTTTTTTTTTTTAGGCGTACGGACTCAGGAGGACATATGTTACGAGAGTGACGCGCCACACACCAGTATGGCCTAATGTATATAGTCCTGATGTGTCGCTCTCGTAGCGTCGCAGGACGTCGGCGCCACGTCATCATATTGCGCGACCCGCAACTGTATTAAGTAGGCGTCTGCAGTGGCAGCAGCAATTCCGTTCTGGGAGTATTCTATACGAGATGGGGCCACTTGTTATTAGGAGAGCTTCGCGAAGGTTCCACGGGAAATTAGGGTTACCATTAGCGAAAGCGATAGAAATGCGAGAGTGTTTAGCGTGGATGCGACGATCTCGGATCGCTATTCTGCTGTTGACTGTGGTCGCTCTCAGTTGCACCGCAGTTCACGCCGAAAGTCGCGCCGTGTCTCACGCCGCAATTGACGCTGCAGGCAGCAGTAAGAAGGCGTCCGTGATTGAGATATCCTCCAAAGCATCGTCTCAAATTCCGTTGCCGGAGGTAGATGATTCGCTGCTGGACAGTGCGTCGGGAACTATCGACGAAGGTAGTATTAGGATACAACGGGAGTCGAGACCTGACGAAGAAAAAGTACCTGACTTGACGACGTTGGCGAAAGAGGGTAGAGGGGACGTTGCGAAGGCTGACGAAACATCAAGGCGAAAGGTAACGCCATCCCAGACGCAGAAGCTACAGAGGGAAATGCAAAGGACGGAGATACAAGAGGCGGAGCAAGGAGCGGAAGCGCAAGGGGCGGGCGGCTCGGACTTAGGTAGCGCGGTTCACGGGGAAATGGCAACGGCCTTAGCAAGAGAGAGATCTGATCAACGACGGAACTGGTGGAGCTCGTTCAATTCGCGTTGGAGGAGTAGCGAATCGAGTACAAGCGCGGACGACGAGGGTGCTCCTAGAGAAGCGCGACTCGCCGAGGATGGGACGGAAGGCGGAAGGGACGAAGAAGGGAACGGGGGAGAGGGAGAGGAGGGGGAGGGGGAGGAAAGGCAGGGCGGGGAGGAGGAATACGCAGGAGAGGAGGAAGAAGAGCAGGGTAACGGGGAGGCGGAAGGCGACGCGGAAGGGGAGTGGGATGAGGGAGGGGAGAGCGATGACGAAGGGCAGTGGGACGAGGAGGAGGGTGATGAGGAGGGTGAATGGGGAGGGGATGCGCTTGGAGGAATGAGCGCGGAGGACCTAGAGGGACTTTGGCGGGCGGGAGACGAGGCGGCGGAAGGGGAAGGGGACTGGGAGGGGGAAGGGGAAGGGGAGTGGGAAGGGGAGGGGGAGGGGGAAGGGGAAGGGGAGGGGGAGGGGGAAGGAGGAAAGGGCCGGGACCAAGAATGGGGCACGCGGAGGGGGGATGAGGGGGAAATTGGCGCGCAGGGCTGGGCGCGGCCGGAAGCAGCGGATGACGTGGCGGAAACGGCGGAAGCGGCGGAAGCCGAGGCGGACGGCCGCGCGGACAGGGAGGGGAGCGGAGAGCGTCGAACGGACAGATCTGGATCCAGTGATGAGTCTAACGAACTGCTTGTGACAACAACGAGTGCAGCGCAGACGCAATGGACGAGCGATCTCGCCCAGCGATCCTCGCAGCGCTCCCTCATCGCAGTCGCCGACGCCGTTAGGAGCGGTCGTGCCGTCGTTACGCGTGCGACTCCGAAATCCAAACCTAGCGGCGGAAAGAACTACAAATTCCCTTCGAGCGCCGGCAAGAGGAGCGGAAGCTCCGGCGCGCGATCCAGCTCCGCGAAGAAGCTGCGAAAACAGTTTCGCGCTCGCTTTAAACGGGGATCGCAGCAGTTATTAAACCTGATTTGGAGTATCGCCGTAAAAGTGAACAATACGAAGCAGTTTGGGTCGTTGCGAACGATTATAAGCGCGGTGATTACAAAGGGGGTAATTATCGCTTCGGAAGCTCTCGGGTTGAATATTCCGGAAGGACGCGCTTTCATTGCGACGCTCGTCGTCGTCGCGCGATCGAATGCGACAGGTGGCGACGGTTCTTCTCCTGCGGGGGCTGCTTCCGGCAACTCGTCGTTGTCTCCGGTACGCACGAATGCTTGCTTAATCTTTTTTTTTTCTTGATTCCTCGTAGATTTTGTTTCTGCCTTTCTTAATCCTTGTTTCCACGTTGGGCTCATCAGAATCAACCCCCTCGCTCGCTTGCTTCGTAAGCTCGCCAGAATACGCATTTCCTGTGTCAGTAGTATTTTGTTCTCTGCCCGCCCCCACTGACCTGCTTTGTTTTTTCTTCCCACCTCGTCATCTCCGTTACAGGCCACATTCATTTACGACGTTGCATACGTTCCAACAAACAACACCGCAAATCGTACTGTTCCCGCGCCACCACCGCCTTGCCCTTCCCCCCCTTCACAAATCCCCCCCTCGCCCCCTCCCCCTGGTACTCCTTCCCCCACAATCTCCCCCTCCTCCGCGCAATCCCAACCCTGCAATCCGCAAACTCCCCCCTCCCCCGGAAATCCCTCCCCGCCCCCTCTCATCTCCCCCTCCCCAACTCCCCCCACTAACAACTCGTTAGAATCACCCTCCTTACAACCACCACCACCACCAACCTCACCCAACCCAGCCACACCGCCGCCAGGCTTGGTTTCCGAACCTAGTCCTCCTATGGTGGTGGGTTCCACCAGTACTTATTTCGAGTTTACCTCACCCTCACCCCAAGCCTCCAATAGCAGCAGCAGTGGCAGCAGCACCGGCAGCACCGGCAGCAGCAACGGCAATTCCCCCTCCGAACCTCCGAAGCGACAGCTGGCGACTATATCCCCCTCCAGTAACCAAATTCCCAGGCCAGCAGGTGCCGGAGGTTCGGCAGCCGCCTCGACAGCAGGCTCGTCAGCGGGCTCGGCGCAGGGGATTGGCTACGTATTCCCATCATCCACCCCTTCGTGCTCCTCTGGCCCGTTTGTCTCCATGCTCTTCATTCCTCTCAAGCCCTCCTGCCCCAGTCCCCCCAACACAAGACAACTCACTGTAATCACGTGAGTGTTCTTTCACGCCCTGAACTCCTCCTGCTCTCAAACCCTCCTGCCCTAGTCCTCCACCCCTTCCTGCACCTCTGGCCCGTTCGTCTCCATGCTCTTCATTTCCCTCAAGCCCTCCTGCCCCAGCCTCCCCAACACAAGACAACTCACTGTAATCACGTGAGTGCTATCCCACAACACCTCTTCTGTATTCCCTTAACCCCTCCTGCCCAGTCCCCTCAATACATAAAGTCCACCCTGTCATCTTGTGATTGGTACTCCACACGTTTGCCACTGTAAACCACTCGTCAGCCCCGGTTCTAACAAACCCTCCCAGTAGTAAAAAAATCGCAACAATCACAATTCGTAGACTTGAATTCCCTCCTGGTGCGAGACAGCTCAATGTAATCACAGCACACTGTATTGTCAATTATTACCGCTGTTCCTGCTGTGTTCTTTGCTCCTCTTTTCTCCCTTTTATGACTATTGCTCCATTTGTTTTCTACGCATTTTACTCCATTCGTTTCGTACATGCATTTCTCACGAGTTTGTGACACTAGTCATGCTGACTACTCCTTTCCATTTCAGGTATAAAAACATTCGATACCTGCGACTGCGATTCGGGTTGCCCGGAAAAGGCTGCCAGCGCCTGTACAAGTTTCAGCTGCCCAACTTTATGGGGCGGCTGGTGAAAGGGCCAGTGACAATGCGGGTGTGTGTTCAGGGCAAGCCGAAAAAAGACTCGTGTGGGGTTATGACACTCACTGCTGCTGTTCCTTCCTGTAGACGGTAATGCAACAGCACCGTATATTTCTTATGACATACGGTATGTTTGAAGTTCTGTAACAGAAGTTACGTTCATTCGCGGAACATTTCACACTCAGAACAGGGTACAGTCCACATCTCTTCTGTGATAAGAATTCGTGTGCGGAAAGTTCATGTACGTTGTGTGAGTTGGAATCAAATCAGGAAAGGGGTACAGTACATCTTCCAACAGATATACCGTACCCTCTTCTACTGATTCCAAACAAGGGCTAGCATTGTTGAGATAATATTGAGACTTAAGCACTTCAAGGAATTCGTGTAGTACAGTTAGTACAGTGTGAGACTTCGCACATAATAGTAAAGTACCGATAGGCTGACGTCAGCAAAGCGCTACGCGCCCTAGGATGGCGTCAGCACATAGCTATAGGCCTCGCGAACAGTCACGTACCGTTTCAGAACAGGAATAGCGTGAATAATACAGTACAGTAGGCGAACAGGTACTTTACTCTAGCTATATATTCTGTATGCTTGTCATTTTATAATATATCTGATTGTGACAAGACTCTGAAAGGCATAGGTTCATCATCAATTTACATGGCACAGAATATGTTTCAATGGTACGCAAAGCTACCGTATGAAAGTAAGCTAACTAGCATCGATGCATAATGCGCAAGGGTGGGACGGGCGGGAACTCAAATTGAGATGAGTGAAATGAGACTAGGTGGCAGGTCTGTGGACCTGCCGAAGGATAAGATGGGAATGCCTCTTTATTGCATTCCCCTTTTCCGAAGCTTGTCACAATCATTAAATTTAGAAATATATTTCTAAATTATTCATATTTCAGAGACATAGATCCTGAAACATATCACTACATGGGCTTTTATTAGTCCAGACAAAGCCTCCTATACCTGGCTTTAACTCATACAAGACTTCCGCTACGACAAGAAGCTACCATCCTAGGTATACGATCCTACTCAATCATCTCAACTTCTAACATGGTATTGCGAGCGTCTTAGGATTCTACAAGCTTCCAACTACATACTCTGCAACTATGTCTGGCTCTCCACGATCCAACAACGGCTCTTCTGTTACGAGCCCATCACGCCCAACAGCGTCACCAGCTGCTGACAATTCTTATCTGCAGCAACAACATCAACAACAACAATATCAGCAACAACCAATGTACGGCATGCCACAGAGCAATCAGTCCGTACACACAACCGCAGCAGCGGCATCATCGGCAGCAGCCGCAGCAACAGCGGCATCAGCAGCCACAACACCTGCAACTGCAGTTACTGGTTCTACTAATCAACCAGGACAACAGTCTAGTTTCGTACCGGCTGGACCATATCAATATCAAGGTGCTTACCAGCCAACAAATCTTCAACAGCGTGTCAATGCTGCCGTCTTGTCACTTAACCACATGTTTCCAACTCCTATGAGTCTTGATGTCTCCAGTTATCAGCATGGACAGATGCCACAAGGAAGCGACGGGTCGAACAACTCCTTCTATTTTGTTCCTGCTGGACAAGGACAACAAGCACCACAAGGGTCACAGATGCCATCACTTTATCAGTTACAATCAGCTGACGGCACCGGAAACTATCTTCCTGCTACTGCAAACCCAACAAAGATTAAAACGACAATGCCATTTAACGGTCAAGACTTCTATACCTGGAGTTTCGAATTCGAGCTTCTTGTTCAGACCGCGGGATTCTGGCAATTGTTCGACGGTACAGCACCCTTTCCATCTCACGGCTCACCACTTCAACAAATTATAATTTGTAAAAGTGTAACACTTTTTCAAATTTCGTATTGTGAAAGCGAGGGTGTGGCCAGCAAAGCAAAGGTAGCGGCTCGACGCTACTCACCCCTCTTTTTGCCTACAAAAGAGGAACGTGATTCCAGTAGCTCCACCCACGTTCTTCATTTCCATTTTCTAGTTTTACTTTCTAGTTCTCGTTCATCCTGGTAAGACGCAATCTCTCCCGCGGTTCAAGTCCCCGTCGACCTTTCTTACCGACATTCTCCAACACAACCTGGCGAACATGGCTCCCGCCAACACTACCCCGAATAACGCTGCGGACAACGCGAACGCGCCCGGGGCACCCGACCGCCGCGGAAAACGCCCTGCTGAAGATAATTTTGGCGAGGGCACTTCAGGCGTCGAAGTGCTGCTCGGGAGCAACTCCCGAGCCCCCTCTGAAGAAGCACGCGCGACTGTGAAACAGTCGCGCGTGCCTCCTGCTGACGAGCGTGTGGCTGCCAGGCAGCCGCGCGTTCCGGTCAAGTCAACGCCGGCTGACGCGGTCGGCGACGCTGGTCAACCGGGGCCCACTCTGCAGAAGCGACAGAAGGCAGCGACCCCAGTAGAAGCCGCCCCAGTCAACCCCCTCGCGTCCCTCACTGCGCAGCAGATGCAGGCACTGCTCTCGATGTTACAGCAGCACGCCCCAGTTACAATCGCAACTTCCTCCGACTATATTTCAGCACCTGCAAAAATCGAAAATCAGAAAGAAGTCACCGCTCCCCGCGCAAACAAGGCTGCTCGCGTCAACGATACCACTGCCGCACCTCTCCCCGCTCCCGTACCGGCACCGAACGCCGCTCAAGACGACAGCGACGACTCGGAGAACGAAGATGGTGAGGCCCCCAACAACATTACCCGTCGTCGTATTATCGCACCCGCACCTTCTCTTCCACCCCTCAACCCCACACCCGCACCCACCACCTTCATGCGCAAAGGCGTGCGCGATCAGGCGGAGTTTTTCTCTGCTATCCAGGCACACCTGAAGCACGTCAATTTCAAGCTCCAGCACGGCGACGTCGAAAGCGCCCTCGCCAACGTCGCGGAAATCGAATCGCTCATCCACAAGTGCTTCGAAGTCCTCTTGGTAGCGGACGAGGCGGGGTTTGAGGCTGCCGATCACTTTCAGCTGTACCAGTCCAAGAGTGTGTTAACCTCACGCTCATACAAGCTTGCAATTGCGGATGTGGCGGCTCTCAAGCGTGCACGCGCCGGCTACACTCGTGGTAATCGCATGCCTACCCGAGAGGGCGAAACGGAAGGCAAGGGTATGCCATCCGCAAGCTGCCACGAAACCCGCTTCAAAGGGGTGTGCTTCCGCTGCGGCCAGCCCGGCCATATGGCCAATGCTTGCCCTATGGGAGGGCGAGGCGCTCTAGGCCCCTCACCAGTCGTGTGAGGAGGCACACGGGGCGGCGCCCCTTGCCACTATGCCGGGGGGCGTAGGTGGGAGCACCGAGGGTGCGTGGCTGGTAGCTAGCATGGGGTATGGGCTGAAGGCCTTAGCAATCCCTAGCCATAAGGGCGGATATGGGGGTAGTACATGCTATGTACTCATGTGTGGAGTAAAGTAATGAATTTCTCTTGTTTTAATTCAAAAAAAAAAAAAAAAAAAAAAAGAGTGAGAAAGAAGGCAAGTGGAACCAAGGCAGCCACCTTGCAGCACGAGCGGCCCCCTGACTAGAAGGGAAGAGTAAGGAGGAAAGAGGCAGAAACTGAGATAGGAAAGAACACGTGAGAATAAGGGGCAGAGATTGAGAAGAAGAGCAAATGGGAGAAAGCTGAAGAGAGAGGGAGAGAGAGCGAGAGAAAGAGAAGGAGAGGGAGAGCGAGGGAGGGAGAGAGAGAGAGGTAGAGAGAGAGAGAGAGAGAGAGAGAGAGGGAGAGAGAGAGAGGGAGAGAGGGTGAGAACGAGGGAGAGAAGGAGGGCGACGGAAGGAGGCCTCACGAACCAAGAGGCTCGGGAATTCAAAAAAAAAAAAAAAAAAAAAAAAAAAAAACCCTCACCCGCCCAAGAGGCCCGCATAAGGATGCGAGGCAGCCCGTTAGAGACTTCAAAAAAGAGAGAGAGAGAGAGAGAGAGAGAGAGAGAGAGAGAGAGAGAGAGAGAGGGAGAGAGAGAGAGAGAGAGAGAGAGAGAGAGAGAGAGAGAGAGAGAGAGAGCGAGAGAGAGAGAGAGGGAGAGATAGAGAGAGAGATTCCCCACTTGGAATGAAGCACGCTGCCTTTGCAAGATGGACTAAGCAAGCTTTCACAATGCTACTTTTCGATCGGCGTCGCTGACTGCATACACAGTTCTCGTTCGTAATATGACACCGACTGAACAGCTTGGTATTCGTCCTTTTCGTACCAGTACCGCTCCCGCTGAAGAAGCTTGGTTATACCTGCAAGGGGTTTACATGGCAAAGGACACCGTCAACCAGAGTAAAATCTTAACGCAGCTGTCAAAT